TAATAATAACAATAATAATAATATAGACATCCACGCGCAAATAGAAATGAAAGTGCGATGCACCCATGGACTCCTATCACCCCAGCATCATAAATAAATGAATCACACCCCTTCGTACGCGGCAAAGCCGAGCAACCCCTTGCAAAATCAACGACAAAAAAACGAATGAAATCAAATTAAAAAAAACAACAAGAAAAAACCAAACAAGTAAGTGAGTCAAAAAAAAAAACGCTCTCTAACACAAAATAAGGGGGGGGGGAAGGGAATATCAAGCCAACATCACCAGACTTTGTCACAACCTTAAGGCCAATTCATGACCCTGCAATATAGCGCGTTTTGCGTCCAATTCTGCCGCCTTGAAGCAACCACCTATGAGATGATACCGCACGTTTTGGAGACCATCGACAAGCCGTCGATCAGATTGTTGGCCATGGCAAAAAACAACTGAATCTACATCCAAAGAACATTTTTTATCACCAATGCTGTACGAAAGTGTCCTTCCGTCAAATGAATCGTAACCCACTCCACTTATTTGTTTTACATTATGAGAACGCAGCTCAAGACGATGAATCCAGCCTGTTGTGGGTCCCAAACGACTTCCCATTTTACCTTTGCTTCGTTGTAGCATCGTAACACTGCGATTTAGCTGAACAATATCCGGTTTCCTTAACCCACCTGCAGTAGCAAATTCAAGATCCATGCCCCACTGTTTGGCAAACTCGTCTGGTTTTTCCTTGCGATATCCTGCGCTTCCCAGCACCGTATGACTTCCAACAAGAAAAAAAGCAACATCAAAACCAATACCCCCTCCACCAATGATCGCGACCCTATTACCCACATGCGCCCTACCAGATAAGACATCAACATATGAAAATACATTTTTTAGCCCCTCCACACCTTTTATAACGGAATTTGAGATTGGCTTTGGGAGACAACCAGTTGCTATAATAACCTCATCATAACCAGCCTCATTCAATAAGGAAGCATCCACCATTGTTTTGAGGCAAACTTTAACATTCTTGAGTGTGGACAAGGAATTCGTCCAATATCTAATGCTACTCTCGTATTCGGCCTTTCCTGGAATTTTCTTTGCAAGATTAAACTGACCACCCAAAAAATTCTCCTTCTCATAAATTGTTACCTCATGCCCTCGTTGTGCCAACGCCAAGGCGCAAGACGCACCACTCGGGCCCCCACCAATCACTGCAATTCGTTTCTTCTTATTGGTGGGAATAATAGCACGCTCCTTTTCATGGCATGCCCTTGGGTTAACCAGGCAAGACGAAGTTTGACCTTTAAAAGTGTGGTCCAAACAGGCCTGATTGCATGCAATACAAATATTTATGCTATCCACATTCCCTTCCTCAGTTTTTCTAACAAAAAAAGGGTCACTCAAGAAAGGACGAGCCATCGCGACAAGATCGGCGTCTTCTCTTAGAACTTGCTCAATCACATCTGGGTGATTCACCCGATTAACGGCAATAAGCGGAGTAAAAATCCCTTTATTTCTCAGATGGTTTCGACAAGCTGCAGTAGCCCAAGTAAAACCGGCTCGAGGAACACAAGTAGAGATAGTAGGAACCCTTGCCTCATGCCAACCAATTCCACTGTTAATGATATCAGCTCCTGACTTTGCAACTTCTTCGGCCAACTTACACACATCTTCACGAGTAGATCCATTCGGAATTAAATCCAGCATTGATAGACGAAAAATAATGATAAATTCCTTTCCCACAGCCTCACGAACAGCTCGCAAGACTTCAAGCGGAAAACGTACGCGGTTTTCGTATGTACCTCCATATTCATCCGTTCTTTTGTTGGTATGCTTTACAATGAACTCATTCAGTAAATAGCCCTCGGACGCCATAATTTCCACACCATCAAATCCAGCCTCCTTTGCAAAGACAGCAGCTCTGGCAAAGTCTTTGATAGTTTTATTTATCCAAAGCTTCGGTAAAGCGATTGGACGGAGGTAGTATTTTTTATAAGGCCAAATCGGACTGGGTATACCAGAAGGAGCCACACAGAGCGGACTGTAAGCATATCTTCCTGCGTGCAGTAATTGCATCACAAGCTTTCCCCCTTCTCTATGGACGGCATCTACAACAGGTTTATATACCAACGCATCAGATTTAGATGATATACGAGGCGCAAAAGGAGTCAGTTTTCCCTCAAAATTAGGGGAAAAACCACCTGTAATAATCATAGCACAGCCTCCTTTTGCCCTTTCACCATAAAACTCGCACATCCGCTGGATCCTGTCATTCTTTAAATCCTCCAACCCAGTGTGCATACTTCCCATAACAACACGATTGCGCAAACTAGTAAAGCCCAGGGACAAGGGCGAAAACATTTTTTCATACCTTAAAGACATCATCCCCACCTCATTTTTCATGAACTTCGTTCCTCTGAATTTCCTTAACAAAGCAAGAAGGAAAAATAGAACAAAAACAAAATAAAAGAAAGAAGGAGGAAAAAAAAAACACATAAATACATTCAACAAATAGGAATCAGTATTATACGACAGCTATAACGACAACACATGAATGCCTGTTAAGCTCAACAACAACAACAACAAAAACCATAATGACAGATCATTAAAAAAAAAATCCCAATATCCGGCACCTAAAAATAAGCCAGATAAAAATGATCTAATAATAAAAAAGTTATTATTATTATTATTAACAGTAGCAAAAAAAATTAAAACAAAAAAGGTGGCGCCCCAATATATTTATCTTACTGCCGCCAAAATATGCTACAGAAAACAAAGGAAAAAATGAGAAAAAAATTAGCAAAAAACCATGTAATTAAAACAAGGATACAAAAACAGCAGCAACAACAATATTATAAATAACAAAAACAACAACAATAATAATAAAAAAATCAGAATCCATCCAATAAGAGATACACGGTAACATAATCCTCATTGTCGGGACAATTACTTCGAAAAGTACGCAACAGGGGCACACAGGGTAAAAAGGGGAAAAAAATTGCAAAAACCCCATCAGAAACAATTTCGCCAAGAGGAAGGCAATCTAATGCATCGGAACCACTCATCACAAAAACAACGACAATCACAAACCATTTTTTCAAGAGGGACGGGATAAAAAGAAAAACAACAAGGATCATAATAACAACAAAGAGGCACCCAAGCGACAAGAACAGCATTACGAGGGCAGAGAGGAGCATGAATGATCCCCAGAAAAACTTTCAATGTTTCTTTTTTTTCACATTTCAAATCGCCACATCCCCATATACTATTGTAATTAGGATTGTTAAAGGCACATTTTGGAGGCATCGTTACTACTTTTTTTTTAGAGTGGAATTAGTGCTATCCCTGAAGCTGCCGCAAAACTGAATTTCGAAAATAAAATCTTGTGAGGACA